ATGGCCTTTCTCCATGGAGATATTTTCTTGCCAGACACTTCCTTTACCTTAGTTGGAGCAATGGCATCTATAACATTTTAAATGTTTGAATTAAAATGATCTACTAGCTCATTTACTGAGACTGCAGGGGCAAATGTGGAAGAATAATTCTGAGTAAACATTTCCCTAGTATTTTCAGTTAAATATCGCTTTGTGGTTACCTCTTTTTGAACATTTTTGTGAACAGAAATAGAGCTCTCAAATAAAACACAGGAATGGTCAGAGAGTGCAACATCAGTCACCACAACCTTAGAGATATTCAGACCCTTTGAGATAATTAAGTCCAGAGTGTGCCCCTTATTGTGCGTGGGCTCCGTCACATGCTGAGTCAGTCCATAGCTATCAAGAACACAAAACAGTTCTTTAGCCCCTCTGTCCTGGGGGTTGTCAACATGGATGTTAAAATCACTAACAATGACTAGACGGTCAAAGTCAATACACACTATAGACAGCAGTTCGGTAAAATCATCAAAAAAGCTTGCACAGTATTTGGGTGGTCGATAGATATTTAGGAACAGAGCTCGAGAGGAGCATTTCAGCTGAAGGGCCACATATTCAAAAGAATCAAAGTTCCCATAAGATGTCTTCCTGCATTGAATGGAATCATTGAACAGAATAGCAACTACACCCCCTTTCTTATGCATTCTTTCCTGACTCATAAAACTAAAGTTGGGAGGGGTTGAATCGATAAGAACAGCTGCACTGTTATTTTGTTCAATCCAAGTTTCTGTTAAAAACATAAAATCGAGATTGTGCTCAGTGATAAAATCATTGATTAAAAATGTTTTTCCTGCCAAAGACCTGACATTTAATAAAGTTAATTTAAGTTTGTTAAACACAATATCAGTCAGGTTTTTTGTAACAAGCTGTGGCTGACATGGAATCACTGCTAAATTTGATAAACTCACACAAACTTTTGAGCGCTTCCTGTATCTAAGATGATTCACCGCTCTTAATCTATTACCTATCAACACAGCTATCGGCAAAGCTACAGGCAGGTAGGGCCCCGGCATGTCCTGGAAAGAGTTGAGAGTGCCATACGCCCTTGAGCCTGGACCCAGCAGATATCAGTTTGCAGCGTTTTGTACACACACATCCCTATCAGGCTTTGAAGGGGAGGGAAGACCCACCAGCCTGCTCCTCTCATCATAGGAGGGCAGGGTGAGGGCTACACTGTAGAAAGGGGGGTTTGGAAATCTGCTTCCATCTTCCTTGTATTGTTGTGGTTTGGATGATTGTGGTAGGCATGGTAATGAAGCCGGGGGAGATGGTGCGCGTTTCTGCTTCGGTGATTTTGGTGGGCGTCGTTGAGGGACGGGGGTAAAGGACATGCTGCCAACCCTGCGTGTTGCCTTCATGCGGTCATCGAACTCCAGGGGGGAGGGCGAGGGTGAAAGGGTGAGCGGAGAGTAGAGAGAGCTGGGGGATGAATGAAGAGTATCCTCAAAGGCGTTGACAGGGGGGGTGATGGGCAGTGGAGACTCCTACATTTGTCTCATAGGTCTCCCATAATCAGAACATTCCTCAGGCGGGTGCAGTGATACTTCTTCAGGGTTTTCTGCACGATGTGTTGTGTCTTTCTCCTGTTTTGATTCCTCTTGCCGCTTGTCCTTGGCAGAGGGAACAGATTGATGACGCAGGCAGTTGAATATGTTAGAGATAAACAATTTCACTCCTGACTTGTTCAGGCAAACTCCATTTGCCTTGAAAAGATGTCTGCGATTCCAGAAAAAGTTAAAATTGTCAATAAAATGGACAGAATGGTCAGTACAGACAGTTGAAAGCCAGGTGTTCAGTGCAAACAATCTGCTGAATCTCTCCACTCCTCTTCTGACTGACGGTAGAGGGCCACTGATGAACACCTCCACATTTAGAGAGCTGACAGTTTCCAACAAACATTTAAAGTCTTCTTTAAGCATTTCTGACTGTTGTTTCACAACATCATTTGTTCCAATATGTAGTACCACATTTTTCACAGTCGGACTTTCAGCCCCAATATGCAGGATCTTCTCAGCCAAGTCAGAGACCACATCCTTGGGAAAACAGAGTACTTTGGTGTTGTTCTTACTACACAGACCTTTTACATCTCTTACAGCAGAGTCACCCAGAATCAGAGTTTCAGGCCCAGTCGTTAGCTTTCCCTCTAGCCTTTTACTTTTGGAGTAGCTATTGGTCCTTACCCTGCTGTGTGAAGAGGACAGGTTATCCAGGTCATCAGAAAGAGATCTCCGGTTCTCGGTCAGCAGAGCGTATCTGTTCTGGATTGGCACACTTAGTGGTTTAGGAGGATTGTTTGTAATTCTTCCTGCTCTGTCCACGGCTGTTTCCTAGTATGAATAGGGGTTGAAGAGGCACTCTTCCTGGGCGATAACAATGCAGGCCAGCCGGTCGCATCACAGATTTCAGAGCGCTGGGCTCTGCCTGTTATCCGTCCTCCCAAATCCCATGGAAATGATTTACTCTTAGGCTTTGCACCCAGAGAGTTCCAGGGAGGACTACCACTTGTAGATTTATTACCCAGTACACAGCCCTCCTGTGTAGGCTACTTGTCAGAGGTCGCGTTAACTGAATATTTTCCGTCTCTGACGGATTTTTTTTAACAATTTAAAAAAAAATCTGAAAGCAGTCCGTCATTTTGACGGATTAGAACAAACTCGGAACAGCGCCAAAGTTTCCCCGCAGCGATGCTCCGGTGTTAAGCATGCCTGCCAAAAAGGAAATGACACCGTTTCCAAACCCAACTTTGCCATACAAATCATTGAAATGTCTGTAAGTTTTGGCTTTACGCTGTGCACTCCCGCAAGGTGCAGTGGGCATGCATAACACGGCGCTAACAGTTGACGAGCGTGCGCCCCGCCCCCCGTTGACAGTTCACGACTGTGCTCTCCCCCCCCCCCCCCTCCGGTTGACAGTTCTCTCTCTCTTGTTTGTGGAGTTATGGCAGGAAATTAGCTCCATAGCTACGCGCCACCCTGTCAGACAGCAGACAGGCGTCAGGGGCAGTGTGATGGGTTGTTGGACGACAGGGCGTGTATCCATCAGGGCTCCACCTACTGTACCCATAGAGTCCAGTAGAGGGCGGAGCCTGTGAGATGTAACGATGGGTTACGTATTGTAACCCTAGTTATATAAGCACAGGTGGAGCCCTCTACTAGGGGCCCTGTCTGTCCTTTGCTGCTCGCTGAAGAGGGTATCGGATGACAGTCAGGAGGCGAGGCCGCCTTATATAGGGTGGGCTTGCGCGCACACTCTCTTCCTGTCGGCAGCCGAGATGCTGCTGCCCCAGCAGGCCACACCATAGAAAATGGCTGATGCCACAACAGAGTCATAACATGTCTGCTGAGGAGACTGAGGTATTTCGGGGTGCAGGGGCACTCCTTCAGACATTTTATGACTCTGTTGTGGCATCAGCCATTTTCTATGGTGTGGCCTGCTAGGGCAGCAGCATCTCGGCTGCCGACAGGAAGAGACTCAACAGACTGGTAAGGAAGGCCAGCTCTGTCCTAGGGAGTCCTCTGGACACTATGGAGGTGGTGGGATACAGGAGAATGGCAGCCAAGCTATCCTCCCTGCTGGACAATGTGTTTTTTTTAAATATTGAAGTTAAAAGCATCAATCTGGTGCACTTTGAGAGCAACATTAAGAGATCTATGGATACATCTCTCAACACCCATATGAAACAGAACTGTCAACAGATTTTCTATTTCTTTATAGATATTTTACAAATCACTCCCCTTTTAAAACAAACCCACTGAGATAACTAGACTAAAGTTAACTATCTAAACACTGAGAGTCCTTTACTTCACCTGAGCTGAGGTTATCTGAGACTCTCAGTCTGACAGGAGAGAGTTCTCCCTCCACCTTGTTGTTGAAAAAGCTCCTTATATCCGTTAGCTTGGCTAGCTAGCACCAGATGCTAACCACAACAATCTCCGGTAGATACCCACTGGTGCGCGAGGCGAGCTCTCTCGCTCGCTCGCGCACGCACGCACACAAAATGGCTCGTTCAGGTGATTTTGATTGAGTGTCCACACGTGGACGTTTAAGGACTAAAAAACGATAAATGTTTCACTTTGCTGTTAGCAAATAATTTGGCGCTCTAGCTAACAGGAAGTCACTCAAGTGTCACAAAGTAATTTAGCCTATGGGTAGGTCAAAAATCGAATGGGTGCTGGCCATTGGCCTAATCATATCACCTGTGTTGGCTTTATGTTTTTGGTCAAAAATGTGTTTGTTTCACATTTGCATTGATGTAATCAATAATATTTCTAATTTAATAAAAATAATAATAATTTTCGAAAAAAAAAAAAAAAAAACCACATATTTCTTGGGGGTGCTTAGGGGGTGCTTTGGCAATCCTGGCGCCGCCCCTGCTTGAACCTCGGCAAAAAGGCATTAGAAGCATTAGAAAGTCAAGGTAAACTTGCGGTCTGCAATGCGTGTCACGCTCGCGCACACAAGTAAATATGCACGTTCATTCTCACAACGCGTCAGACACAAGAAACATTAATTTACATCAGATTCAGAATGTTTTTATTTTTTATAATTTGTATTTGTTATAATGGGACAGGGTTCGTTCCGGATTGATTTTCAATTCGGTCCGGATCCGGACCTTGGTCCGCAGTTTGAGAAGCCCTGCTCTAAAAGTTTCCACTATACATGGCAACTGATTAACTGTACAATTAACATAAACAGTGAATGCCAGAACTGCAGGAATTTTGTGTTGAATAAGCATTTTCTTTCCAGTTCTACTTTACTACATTCTGAAAGCAAATTGCTGAATTTTTGACTTTTGAAAACATGAATGCATCACTATTATAATCCAGTGATATGATATTTATTATTCTGCATAAGTACTTTTAGTTTTGCATTTTATATTACTACTTTTACTCAAGCAAAACGTGTAGCCTTATTCTGGTATCACTGGTCCTCTTTATTTCCCCAAACGTATGTGTGATTTCTTTCGATTACTGAATCTAACGGGCGTTAGGACCAGGTGACCATCACTAGCAGAGGGCTGTTGGCTGTTACTGGTAAACATGGCCGACCAAAACAAGACAGACACTGACTCAAAGTTTTACAATGAAGTATTAAGGTATGTTATTATCGGTAATGCGAAATAGTACTGAATTTGTTGGCGGTTGAGTAATAACTTTCGTAATATTTAGTCAAATTGTTATTTTGTCATAGTTTATTGTAAGGGCTTAAGAGTTGCCCCGTTCACATGGTCATACGGTTATGTTAACTGCCAGTTAGCTAGGTTGTGGTTCCAGGGAAACCTTAGTTGACGTGACTTTTAAAAACCCGTAAAGCGATACATTAGTGTAGAGGTGGCGAAACATCATATACCATATATATTTCATGAATCATTATTGTTAGTCTCTCAGTCAGACAGAGGAACTACTCTCCTCCATCGTAAAAGTTCTAATACAACAATGTCAATAAATTACCTTTTTAAATGACACAACATCACTGATATACTCAATACCTCTGTGCTAACTTGCCCGTATCAGTTAACATTATAATAAATGTATCTTATGTGGCACACTATTTTGACTACATTAATTCATTTTATATACATATTTTTAAATTAAAATAATTTCAGTTTTTTTCAAAAGCTTCCATAATGTGACCCACTCTATTTTTTATTAAATTATTGATGAAAATACAGAAGTTTCTTTATTGAAAACCCGTAAATCTTTTTAATAGCTTCCATATCATGTGACCAATGAACTCCAAATTAATTCGGAATTGTATTACTACACTGAAAAAAAAAAGAGTAGAACTATTTTTTTGTAGGACATATGTCTTTTTATGATATATTACATTACATTGCATTTAGCTGACGCTTTTATCCAAAGCGACTTACAATAAGTACATTCGACCAGGAAGACACAACCTTGAAGAAAACAGAATCATATAAGTACATCAGGTTTCATAGAGCCAAACATTTCAAGTGCTTTATTAGTATATAAGTGCTCTGTTAGCAGTTATTTGTTAGTAATTATATCGCTCGAAGTGGAGTCGAAAGAGATGAGTTTTCAGTCTGCGCCGGAAGATGTGCAGGCTTTCTGCTGTCCTGATGTCAATAGGGAGCTCATTCCACCATTTAGGAGCCAGGATAGCAAACCCACGTGTTTTTGCTGATGGGAACTTGGGTCCCCCTCGCAGCGAGGGTGCAGCGAGTTGTTTGGCTGATGCAGAGCGTAGTGCACGCACTGTGGTGTTCAGTTTAACCATGTCCTGGATGTAGGAAGGACCAGATCCATTCGCAGCATGGTATGCAAGTACCAGTGTCTTGAAGTGGATTCTAGCAGTTACCGGAAGCCAGTGAAGGGAGCAGAGGAGCGGAGTGGTGTGGGAACATTTAGGAAGGTTGAAGACCAGACGAGCCGCTGCATTCTGGATGAGCTGCAGAGGTCGGATGGCACATGCAGGTAGACCAGCCAGGAGGGAGTTGCAGTAGTCTAGGCGTGAGATGACGAGAGCCTGGACCAGAACCTGCGTGGCTTTCTGGGTCAGCTGGGGACGTATCTTCCTGATGTTATATGAAATATATATGAATATGAATATTGTTAAGAACATTCTGAGGTTTATTTTTTGAAAATCACATGACATACATGACCATATCTTCCATGACATGTGACCCAGTAATTCTAAATAAATGCAGCATTGTGATAATAACCCATATAAGTCTGACACATCACTTGTAATGGATTGTATTGCTTCTTCTCTCTTGCCTTTATCTATTGATAGACACATCAAAATGCCAGAACGTGAACGTGTTTTATTTTTTTATTCCAGTCCATCTGAACTGTTTGCAGCCCGGTCCAGGAGTCATAAGATCCCGGTGAGAGGACAGAAAGACTTCTTCCCTGATGACTCAGACGAGCAAAGACAGCGGCTTGAGCAGAGTCTCAATGAGCACTGGAGCCTCATATCCGAGGAGCGAGTGGAGAAACTGTGAGTAGGCATGGCATCCGTTCAACAAACCAGGAGTAACACCGACAAAATCTGCTGTCATTGATTGATTGTGAAAAACATATCAAACATAAAATAATAAAATTTGACTGTGGTTTCAGCTCTATAAAAAGTAACTAGTGTAGTTTTTCTTGGTAGAAATACTAGAAAAGAGAAGCTCTCTATGTGTCCAGTGTGATGTTTGTAATCTGCTTATTTCCTCCTACTGGCAAAAAAAATAATGTTAAGTAATGTTAAAATAAACTACCAGTTGTTGCTGTTGAATTCATGCAAGCAGGCATAGACATTGTATAGCCCAGGCTTATTTTTTTGGCAATTGCATTTTTGCCTTGAAACGATATTGAAATTGAGCTTATTTCCTGCATCAACTCAAAATCCAATGAAAAAAAATCCTATTGCGTTTTGACTTGGCAACAAGGGGGATTTGAACTTCTAGGTTATAAATGAAGTAATCCCTGGTGGCCAGAAAATCACTTTCTTTTTAAAATATTTTACTATATACTTTGCCAACATTTTAAAGTATGTGGGTTGAGCTTCAGATGCTGCATTGAAAATAATTTTTTGACATTTTAATTTAGGGGAAACCTAGTGAAGGCCACATGGATTCCAAGTGAGAACATCGTGGAGCTTCAGTCTCCAGCTGTGAGTATTCCTCAGTGTACAAAACAATATACTCACACCCCGTTACATTTTATTTTGACTGAGTCTGAAAACACTTGTTTTTTACATAGGGGAAGTTTTGGCAGACGATGGGATTTTCTGCTGGCGGCAAGCAGTTTCTCTTCCCTGAAGAGGCTCTCTACCTGATGGAGTGTGTGAGTGGCAGTTATATTTCTCCAATCCCCCTACCCTATTGTGATCTGTAAAATATGGATAACTGATTACTTTGAGTGACTGTGTGAACAGGGGAACGTGCAGGTGTTCTACCAGGAGCTGCCACTGTCCATTCAGGACGGGTATGAGACATTTCTGTACTCAAGCACATTGAGGCTCCAGGAATATCAGGTAAGAGAAAACATCCCGACAGATATTCTGAAGGAGGCCTGAACTGCGTCTAACAACGTTTTTTTTTTTTATATCTCTTAGGTGTTTGGGCATTTGAAGAGGCTTGGCTATTTGGTGCACAGGTTCCATCCCAGGTAACTGAATCCTCATTGACACAGGAAGGGAGAAATGTATGCCATTTGTCAATCCTTTGCAAACCAAATTTGTTAAGATATTGAAATAACTTTTTATATTTTTTTACAGTAACATGTATCCCACTATGTGAAGCCAAACTGCTACAAGCTATTTTATTTCATGTATTTCCTTTTACCTTTCCATCTCTGGTTGTATAAAGTTTGTTATATGCTTTTTATTAACTGCTGTCGCGGCTTCTTTCCTACTTCTTAGATGCGTTTCAAACAGACTTGCGGTTAATCAAAATACAATTATTTTGTCACACATTCCACAATAAAAATAGGCCTTTAAGTTAGTTGCCAACAAAACAGGCAAAAAATGAAAGATAAACAAACTATATAATGTTGTACGAAGTGTAACGCTTTAAACTGTGTTTCAACGGCGTCTTCCACACAGGTTCCGATATCTGTATCTTAAATGCTGGTGCCGTGTGTATTGTAGTCTTTTATAGCCCCTTGACTACACAAGCCACGAATAGGTGACAATATTAATTGATTTTGTCACAAAAAAAGTAAACTGGCTCTGACAATTGTTCTAAGCGACAATGTCTTTGGTACAAGATATTCTAACTAATTTGATTGAAAAGGATTATTCCTGACTTTTAAAATGTGCCAATCTACCACATTTTTCTCGTTGCTTTCACTTCTATTTGTATTGCCTGTGCATATAATACCAATACAAATATAAATAAAGTCAGGCTTTGAAAAATAAGATAATTGGTTGGTTGGTCAGTCACGTTTGTGCCGACAAAAGAAAAGGAAATCATTATATCAACCCATATTTAAAACTTTCAGAACACTTATTTGTTATGTATTCTAGTATAGAATATAGTATAGTATATACTGAGTTTGCCTTAATGTTCAGAAATGTCGAGGGGCAAACAAATGTAAATGTACTTACACAACAAGAACAAAGTTACACAATTAGATAAAAACAGGAAATATCACAAAAAACACAAGATGAAAACAGATCAAAAAACAAAGAAAATCGGCTTAAACGGTCTTCATTACTCTATTGTCTTATCATGTCCAAATCATTTAGTGACAGACATGATGTTAGCTGTAAATGTCCAGGATTTGACATTGTGTGTGTGTGTGGCTTTTTACAGTTCTGAGACATCGTCCTATGCGAAGCAGCTGAACCTTCCTCAGTCACGTGACAGAGCAGGGAAACAGCTGAAGAGAAAGCGCAGCGCCAGCCCCATCGCAACATCCAGGTATCGCTTCACAATATTTATTGTTTTTTTATCATCACTGAACTTAGGATATTGCACCCATGGAGGAAAACTGCACTTAAAAATATAACTATAGCTCTAGTCTCTTTTGTGTTTAATTCAACGTTTGATGTATTCTACCAAATAATTTTGGAAATAACTGAAATTAATTTCTTTAATTCAACTAGCAATTTGTTGTAATTTAGCATTTTGTCTTTTAACCTCTTTCCTTCTCTAATCTTGCGCTATTGTGCGGATTGATATGACTACACATAGTCCCTTGATCCTCCTTAGCAACAGTCTATTCTCGTTAGCAACAGACTGTTAGTGAAAATGATCAACCTCTTGAATGTCCAAATTGACCAACCAGAATCGAGCATTCAACCAAGCCATGTAATAATGTCATAATATTGTTTTTGTGATATTGAAAAAAGGCAGTTTAAACAGAATACCAATAGAGCAAAGTTTGAATCATAATTATTTGTTTTCATTGTTGTCTTTTTTTTTTTCAAGTTATTCGTCCAATAAAAGAATTAAACATTTCTATATATTTTTTATAATCAACATACAATTTTATTTGCATTTGTAATTGTATTTTTTTTAAAACTGAAAGCAGCAGAAGTGCCGAACTAAGGCTGCAGCCACACAGAGACGATATGGGTTGTATCTGTTACAGTTCTCTATCATATAGACGGTTCGGCCACACGAGGCCAACAGGGAAACGATAACGGGTCCTAAGGTGGGTAGATCTGCAGACGCAACGCTCCGTGATTACGCCCTATACAATCATTTCCTGATAACGAAAATACTGACGGGCTGTCAGGAGAGGGGGAGGAAAAGAGAGACTCCGTATATTATTCTTATATTATTATATAGAGTTGTTATTAATTTGTTTTAAAGCTCAATAAATAACAAAGAAGACCTTTGACCGGAAGATTTAAACTTTAACGGACATGTTGACCAGCGAAAACAAATTCTAACGGAAACTCTGCCGCACGGTTCCCTCGTCCCTTGAAAGAGGCGGAGAGGTGGGATCTGCTGGTGGACTACCGGGGAGATTTACAGCAGGAGCACACGCTTGCCTCGGGGAGAGAGAAAAAGAGCCAGAGCCCTGGCCCCTGCCTCTCCCCACCTCTGCTGATAAATCCACCGCGGAGAATAAACAGAAGGGCAACCATGGCAACCATGCATGCTCGTGAAGTCTTCGTCGCTACTTTTGGTATATTTTTTGGCGGAAGTACAGCGCCACTTACAGGCCCGGCATATGTACAGCGTCTCCAGCGGGTCGAGCGGTCTCGTGTGGACGGACACGTTTCTGGTGCTGATTGCGTGTGAACGGAAGACTTTTTTGATATCGAATTTGGTTAGTTTTCGTTACAGTCTCCGTGTGGCTAGGGTCTAACTGTGCTTTAATAGTTATTCAAGTAATATCGTTAATTCCAATTTTAACAAAGCTATGGCATATTTTTTTTAATGCTGCAGTCACACTGAAGCACAAGAAGAATCTACAGCTGACAGAATGGAGGAGGATACATGCGGCCAAGAAGGTCAGGAGGATAAAAAACTTCCAGAGTCCCATCTGACTATTTCTCCAGAAACTTCAAGCACCCAGACCGCCACTGCAAGTCCAGGAAACAAGGGTGGGGTCAGGACCTGGTGGATGCTGGATGATGTCGGGGAGCGATCTGATCACCAGCCCGCCTCTGCTGCCTCACGCTGGGACTTCAGCTCCATCTCCTTCCCTGACTTGGGCTCCAGCAGGGAGCGCCTCTCCAGCTGCCTGGTATCACCTGACCCCTCTCTGCTCCCTGGGGCTCTGGCAGTGGGGGTCTGTGACGTCGACCCCTGGAGGACCAGGATCAACCTGCGGGATGTCAAGATGTCCTCGAAGGAGCAGATGAGAGAAGAGGAGAAGCGAAGGCATCGCTCGGACAAGGACAGAGAGGTTTGTAGTTAGACAGCGTTCCGGATTGTTAAAAGTCTTAAGTTAAATGAAATTATTACATATCATTGCAATAAACCATAAAGAAACAAACTCAGAACAATAGGAAAAGTGCAGAATTATTCGCCATATTTATCAAAAAGTAAGTGGGTAATATGCAAGCAAAGCACCTCTTTTCACCCTCTGTCTGAAACTAGGTTAGCTGGCCGGCTATAGCCTATCACGTATACTACAGTTACATTTTGTTGGTATGCTAGCCAATGCTAGCACATGTTACATAGTGATGTCTCTATGTTGTTGAAGAAAAGTGGGGGGGAGAGAAACTTTGGGATTTTAGCCTTTACCAGACCATTTACATGCACAGAAACCTATATAACACTACAGGAAGGGGAAAAGCATAATACGGCCTCATTAATCTGTATGAACCTCTATGTAACATGATTTCGAAATGCAACTGTTCAACACAAATTTAGTTGGAATCTTCATTTGGAAAATTAATATGTTCCTTTAGGTCAGGCGCTGCAGTAACTGGGCGGAGTATCGGCAGCTGATGGAGAGGCGGCAGGGGAGGAGGAGTAAAGGCCGAGCGACACACCTGTGGGACGGGGAGGTCACTCCTTTACATGACCCGAGACAACCAATTCCCACTGGTGAGATCACATGGATCTAGTCTATAAATGAATTCCGAAAGAAACCCACAAATTGATCATTTGTATGTCGAATACTCACCCCATATTAGCTTGAATTCTTGATGTAAACTTTGTTTTTTTTTCTCTTTCAGGGGAGCTGCTAGATAAAATCAGTGTGATTAAATCTACACATTTGCTTGAGGGAGCGTCCAGGTAGGCATTGTTTCCCTTTCCTGTTATCACACTGATAGTGAAAATTATTTTCCTTATCTAATGAGGAGCGAATAAACTGGAAAACAGCCCTGCCATAATAAAAACTAAATTACTCAAAGAAGACAAATTATGCTTATCTTCAGGTTCATATTAGTATTTAGTGTCTCTACTGGGACATGTCTCCATGCTTTAATGTTCAAAAAGGTCTTTGTTTTTCTCATACTGCCTGTGCTGCAGCACCTCTTTTCACCCTCTGTCTGAAACCAGAGCCCAGTCTGCTCTGATTGGTTAACTGGCCGGCTCTTTTATGTAAACTAGGCATTATGTTTACATTCAGCTGAGACTTACTGACAAAAATGTGCTGCTAGGGTACTCACACATACAAAGCCGTGGCAGCACATCACCCCCATCCTCATCCACCTCCACTGGCTGCTGGTCAAGTCCTTCATCACCTACAAAGTTCTCCTCCTCACCTACAAGTCCCTCCATGCCCATGCCCCCAGTACTTATCGGACATCCTTCGCCCACATGCCCCACCCCGTAACCTGCGGTCTTCAGACTCTGGCCTGCTTACCACCCCCCGCACCAACATGCAAACCTTCGGGGACAGAGCCTTCAGTGTGGCAGCCCCAGGGGCGGACTGGGACTACAAATCTGGTAAATACCGCTAGTAATTTGCCAACGGGGGGGTGCTAGTGACTTATCCGACAGGCCCACATCGTCCGACCGGCCCACTTCAGTACCGGCCCATCAGGATTCTTCCCGAACGTCCCGATGGCCAGTCCCACCCTCTAGAACGCTCTCCCTGCGGAGATCCGCAACATCTCCACGCTTGACGCCTTCAAAAGGGCCCTCAAGTCCCATCTGTCTGCCAAGGCCTTCGGCCCCTAATCTATTTGTTGTTTTTAGGGATGCTCCAATCGCCAATTTTGGGGCCGGAATCAGTATCGGCCGATACCGATCGCCGATCCGATCGAGTGGGCGGGACCTATGGGGATCTTACATTTAAAGTGATGTGAAGTACATTATTCAACTTTGGATAATAACACGGGATAAATTAGCAGAAGCGCTCTCTTTTCCTCTCTCACTCTCTCTCTCTCTCTCTTGACAACCTGTCAGTATCTCATGCAGCTCACTGATCCAGTAACGACCAGAGGTGTGGACTCGAGTCACATGACTTGGACTCGAGTCAGACTCGAGTCACACATTTTATGACTTGAGACTCGACTTGACAACATCACAAAAGACTTGCGACTCGACTTGGACTTGAACACCAATGACTCGGGACTTGACTTGGACTTGAGCCTTCTGACTTGAGGTGACTTGATACTTTAATTCAGAGGTCTCCAACACGCCGATCGCGAGCTGCCGCTAGAAGAGAAGACTCCCGTCGGGGAAAGCAGAATCTTCAGCCGCTCCTACTCTTGCTGAGAATCCTTGCAGGCAGGGGCGGGTCTTTATTTAGCTGGGCCACCATGCGGCCAATCATATGCAAGGACACACTAGGTCATACCATTATGTGAAAGAAGGGTGGGGGGCACAGCATGTGTAGTGGTACAGGCCAGCTGCACAGAGCGACGGGGAGACGGGGAGCCGGATTTAAATGCAAGCGCGTCGGAAAAAGTCAAGAAATGAGTGAAAACCGAAAAAAGAAGCAGCATCTGGCTGCTTGTCAATGATATTGGAGAAAGCAAAGCTGAGTGCAGGATTTGTAAAATGAAAATAACCTTCAGAGCAGGGTTTTGTTTTGGTAACCACTCAGGATTTATTGTCAGAGGTGGGAGAAGTTCAGACAATTTAAAAAAAGTTACAATCAGGGTTCCCGCGGGGGCTTAACAAGTCTTAAAAGGTCTTAAATTTGATAATCAGAATTTAAGGCCTTAAAAAGGTCTTAAATATGATTCAGAAGGTCTTAAAAATTATCGGATTTGAAAGGTACTTCTGTGTTGCGATAGCGTCTAAATGTGTTTTGGGGGAAATGTCCGGGCTGCAAAGTAACCAGTAGGGTAATAGCCTTTCAGTTCCCCCCAACAATTTGTATTGAATTAAATCAACATGGAACCAGTAATAACTAACTTTGTTTCCCCCGGCCCCTTATTGGAGAACACCCAGCTAGTAACCTATCAACCAAGCTTCAGCTCATGTAGCCTATCTTCGAATCTACTTACAAATAAATATGGGGAAGTGTAAGTTCAACCGTATTTGGTTGGAAAACATCTAATTTAGTGCTTGGTTGAAACCAGTGGAGGGAACGTGTTTGAAGCCCGCTGCACCTTTTGCAAAATAAATTAGTGTTTGTTTTGCTAATGTAGCGTTAGCTAGTGCAGCAGCAGCTAATGTAGCGTTAGCTAGTGCAGGGTTAGCTAATGTAGCGTTAGCTAGTGCAGCAGCAGCTCCCGCAACAACACCGGGGGACCTCCGGGCGAAGTTTGGGTCTACGTCAACCCTAAAAGCGGAGGTGCTGTAGACGCTAAATACCGTAGCTAAACACCAATCATACAACAGCAACGATGAAAGATTGTAGCCAAGGCAGCAGAGCTCTGAATATAGCTCTTGTCACTCTCTCTCACACACACACACACACACACACACACACACACACACACACACACACACACACACACACACACACACACACACACACACACACACACACACACACACACACACACACACACACACACACACACACACACACACACACACACACACACACACACACACACACACACACACACACACACACACACACACACTAGGGCTGCTCGATTATGGCAATAATCAAGATTATGTTGGTCAAAAATTAATATCACGATTATTAAATATGATTATTCATTGACTTTGAAAACATCCATTTATTGAACTTTAAAACAGATAATAATTTGAACAGTATCTTTTTAACTGTTGATTACCCTGAACGTATAATTCAACTGAAAAACCAATACAAACATTAATTAAATAAATGATACATTACTAAAAAATTCATTAGATCAAATATGTTGTGGTGCACCGTCACAACCTAGCAAAGCAAAATAATCGTTTTTTCCGATTATGTTGTTTTCGTAATTGTGGCAGGCCAAAATCGTAATTGCGATTAAAATATGATTAATTGCACAGCCCTAACACACACACACACACATACACACACTTTTTGTCTAACACGCTAACACAGTTCTGTACTGTTACGCTGTTGTGTTCAGTCATTGTTCTTATGTTGAACATGAATACATTTACTTTGTAAGTGATTATGGGACGTATTTCTTCTTTATATACATTTTCCTTCATACTTTATTGCCGTGAAATAGGTCTTAAATTCTATTCAAAGTGGTCTTAAAAAGGTGTTAAAAAGTTTTAAATTTGAGTTGGCGAAACCTGCAGGAACCCTGTACAATAAAAAGTCCTGCATTCAAAATGTTACAAGTAAAAGTACAAAAGTATTAGCATCAAAATATACTTAAAGTACCACCTGCAGAGGGATCTAGATTCAGCTGTTCTTTTCCCCGCCTCGCTGCACATTATCCCTTGCATAAAGATAGATCGTGGGTCCCTTATAACATGTTGTACACAGTGGAAATAAACATTCTGGTTACCTCAACATCAGGGATCTTATTCATTAAACTCCTTCTGAATCAAACCGTCACGGTAGCCTTACCTTACTGATCCCTCTTAAATTAGAAAAACACACGTTACTTTACCAGCAGAGAGAAAATGGATTATTAAATTATTAATGTGACTAATAAAGAGCAATTTGATTATTAAGTATTATTCTGTTGATCGATGTCATTACATTTGGTGAAAAACACATAATGACTTGTTTATGACTCGTTTTGTCAAAGTTTAGGACTTGGACTTGACTTGAACTTGACCATCCTGACTTGAGACTTGACTTGGACTTGCAAAACAATGACTTGAGACTTGACTCGGACTTGAGCGCAAAGACTTGAGACTTGACTCGGACTTGCAAAACAATGACTTGGTCCCACCTCTGGTAACGACTGAACCGACCGTGAAGAATACATATATTTATAACTAGTTTAGCTTGTTCCAGAGGTAGATAAAATAGCTAAGTGTGTTAGGTCTACCTCCGCTCACCGGTCCGTCACAGCGGGTGGAGCTGCAGGATTTCTGCTTCACACACGTTGCATACCGCTATTTTATTGTCATTTTTGGACACCTTAAAATACTGCCAGACCGGTGAAGCCATTTTGCGAGCTTGTTTTGCCGCGCACAGAGAAAAGTGTCATGTATTTTACCACATCATTTTACGTCATACGATCGGCTCTTGCGATCGGCATTTTTAGAGAGCACCGATCGATCGGCAGAGAGTGAGTATCGGTCGATATCGATAACCCTATAACACTTTTTTGTCACAAAAGTGCTACACAAACCAAAACCAAACCCCTGTTTCCATGTAATAATTAACACTTATTATTTCATATATTTAAAAAAAATATGATTGTAGGCCTAATTGTCCCTATTGGTTTTCAATCATTTTTCATGACAGTAAAAAAAGATGTTGAGTTCTGTTCTATGTGGTATTTAAAATGCAGAAACCCTTAGTAAGTAAACCCTAATGACCTACCTGCTGTGTGTACACATGGAGCAAACATTTAGTGCAGATTGGTATTCAATTAGTGACTTTATTGTTCATTGGGGTCAGAAAACATTCACCTGAGAAAGATAAAGAGATTGGACTTGATGTACCTTCAACTCCTCTCTATGCTATCACAAATAATGGTTTACAAACACATAAAGACAGAGAGACAAAGGAGCGAGACGCTGCGGCTCCTGCGTTTGTCACCGGCCTTGTAGTGCTCTTGAAATATGATGTTTGTGTATTGTTCTGTGATGAAGAGGGCATCATTCAGGCGCTGACTTTGTGTTTGTCCGCTCAGGTTACAAGCATCAGACGAGTGGAGGATTAGTTTCAATGTTTATCAGCCTGACACGGTGGCTGACTTCAAGAAGAGCAACCCGGGGAAACCTTACACACGGATGTGTGTGTGCAGGTAAGCAATCACAACAACTGCTCGTGTTTACACAAGATGGGCTGATAGGAAACAACAGACCTGTGACTCAAATTAAATAAGTTGTATAGGGCTGAAGATATAGGCCCTTTTGTGTCCTAAAGCTCAGTCACAATATCTGACATCGACACCAATAACAGTGATTTCAACCTCCTACCTCCTCCTATCATTCTCCATGTTCAATACCACGGTTAGAAAAAAAAGTCCAATAAACATACTTTATTTCAATTGCATGTTGTTTTTTGTTAGGAAGTGTAGCAGGTCGTATTACCTTTCTGATATCTATTTTACAAAACAATAGGTTACGTATGTAACCCTAGTTCTATAAGCTGAGGCGGAGCCCTCTACTGGACTCTATGGGTACTACTCTCATCAATGACACGCGAGCGTTCACACACTGAAGTTGTATAAACGTAGCCGGCCAATCGGGGCGAGCCTACCTAAATGCGTGCGCAGGCCCGCAGTAAATACGCCTCCTGACTGTCATCCTACAGCAGGGGTATTCAACTAAAATTCAACGAGGTCCAGTTAGAGAAAATCTCCCCATGCAAAGGTCCGGAACATCAAAATGTATAACTTGCTTCATGAATTAGTGTGATATATATTGAAGTAGCCTGTAGCTTTATCAACGTCTGCATGTAATCAACAACTGACTGCCAATCAAATAAAGAAAGTACAATTCAAAAACAACAATATTTATTGTCTATTAACATTGAACTATACAGATATACAGTAAATACTGTGGCTATGTGTAATGTTCCTCTCGGCCTGCATTTAAAAATAAAATAGAGAAAATAAATAAAATCACTTTTGAAAATGTGTGCATCTGAAAAGTGCTTAATTTTAGATAAATAAAATAAAGTGTAGCAGCAGCTTGAGTTTCCCTTTTTCTTTGTTAACCGTTTCACATCATGACTTAACAGTTTAAGACGATTATAGAACAATATCAGTCTTTACACATCATAACAATTCAGTTTTAAAGTTTCTCTTTCTTTCCCTCTTATATTGCAGTCCATCACTCACTTTGTTTTATTCAGTGCGAGAATTGAGCTGGAGCTTGTCCTGCCAGGAGTTTGTAAATCTGGGCTGAAATGGTGTCAGGGCCATTCTCATACACATGCAGGTGCTCATTGGTTACAGTGATGCAAACACAGGTAGGTGAAAAAAGAGAGAACTATTCGAAGCAGAAAAAAAACAGCGTAATATACCATCTGACAAAGGCCTGTGCTATAGTGCTTCAATTAACTGGCTATTCTTTATAATATACTCAGATCAATAGGAGACAAAGATGTTAAGTTAAAAATCAAGGGTTTGTATTATTATTTACAGCAGGGGTGGGGAACCTTTTTCCTTTCAATTTTTACAAAATCCTCCGAGGGTCGTACAAATTATTGAACTCAACCTCTGCTTAAAAAAAAAGAAGCAACCTCTTAATCCAGATATCGTACCATGACTCACGCATGCATGCATGTGCACGGTGTGGCATGACCACCAACACAGAAAGATATGGACACAAGATGTGTGCAAATGTATTTAGTATCCTATCCATGTGAACATGATTTAAGTGGGGGGGGACCTAACCTCCTCTAGGGGGGTCCGGGGGCGTGCCCCCCGGAAAGATATATATTTTAAATATTGAAGTTAAAAGCATCAATCTGGTGCACTTTGAGAGCAACATTAAGAGATCTATGGATACATCTTTCAACACCCATATGAAACAGAACTGTTTCATATGTATATTTTACAAATCACTCCCCTTTTAAACTCTATTCTTGTTATTTTTAACAACTTTTTTGTTACTGTCATATAGTATTTTATACCTGTTTTTCATTTAATCTCATTAATAACTATAATGATCATATCAAGGTGTGCCTTAACCTCACTGAGCTGAGGTTATTTGAGCCTCTCAGGAGAGAGCTCTCTTCCACCTGGTTGGAGAAAAACTCTTTAAATTCGTTAGCATAGCTAGCTAACCAGATGCTATTAAGAACAGATCGCCACTGTGCTTAGAACTAAAGACACTGCGGCATGTGTACGGCTCCTTATGGGTACTGCAATATTTGAAGGGCTGGAGCGGCGTTCTGGTGCTCTCCGTCAGCACTCCTTTCAGACGAGACTATACCACGTGAAGACACGTTACGCTCGTGTTGTGTTCAAGGAACCTGTCCTTGGCCAGGAAAAACAAGTACTCGCTTGTTTAATTATTTTTGCGGTCTAGATTTCTTTTTCCTTTTTGAAGTGAGAAGTTGTCCGTCAGTCGGACTGACGGACGAACTCCCCCCCCCCACCCCCAAAACGAAAACTCTTCGGTTCTCCACGAATTACACAAGTCACCCAAATCAGCGTTAAAAAAGCGGGAGGCGCCGAAAAATCCCCTATTAATATATTGATTATAGCTCCTGGTCCGTATAGGTCGGCGTCTGGGTCCGGATCCAGACCGCGGTTTGCCTGTTGCCGACCCCTGTCCTACACCCTCTTCAGCGAGCGGCATAGGAAAGACAGGGCCCCTAGGTAGAGGGCTCCGCCTGTGCTTATAGAACTAGGGTTACAATACGTAACCTATCATTCTATTTCACACAGGCTCCGCCCTCTACTGGACTCTATGGGTACAGTGGGTGGAGCCCTGATGGATAAACGTCCTGTCGTCCTACAACATCGATCCGCCACACTGCCTCTGACCGGCCTTTGGTTAACAGCCACCGCACCCCAACTTCCCATCATCCGGTTGCGACCATGGAGAAGTCGGTGCCGCAGCTTACTTGGCTGGGTAGAGCCTAATTGGTCTGAATAAGCCCATAGCTCCACCCTGCAGGTGCCAGCGCAAGTGACTAATACTGCGCACCATGTTTCCCGGGTCCATAAGGAGCATGGGGAGAACGTAAGTGCACCATGTCCCCCACACTCACACACGCTTACCTCGTGTAGAGTGTGCTTGGACTGTAGTGGGGAAGGCTCTCCCCGCCTTTCAGCCCTGTATGAGAGCCCCTCCAGCCCTGTATGGGGCTTACCGCGCACCATGTTTCCGGGTCCCTAAGGAGCATGGGAAAACATAAGTGCATTATGTCCAGGGGGGGTCAGATACAGCCTACTGACCCAGAGCCCCCTCCCCCCTTCACCAGTCCTGTGTTGCCCCAGCAAGCACAGACGATGAAAAGGAGCCAGACATGTCCAAGAGATAAAACCTTATGAAGGGGCCTGGTGAAGACCAAACCGCCGCCGTGCATATGTCCTCCACACTCACGCCGTTGAACAAGGCTGTTGATACAGCCGTACCACGTGTAACAGGCGGGGAGAGCGTGGGAGAGCAGGGAGAGCGTTCCCTACTGGGGTCCATGTACACTCTGTACACGGACCCCAGTGGGGAACGCTCTCCCCGCCTGTCCATAGGCATGTGAAATGCACTCGCAGAGCCATCCTGTCAGGCGTTTCTTGGACAGAGCTTTACCGGCCACACCATCCCCAAAGCCCACAAACAGCTGTTCAGTGCGCCTAATGCAGTGGTTCTCAAACTTTTTCTGGCAGGCCCCCCCTTTGGAGAAAAAAAAAAGTCGGGCCTCCCCAACACAAATAGTCAAGCTCAGTGGCAGTGCCAGAGATTTCTTTTGGGGTGCTGTGGGTAGCTTGACGTTTCATAAAGGGTGCTCAAACATGTACGGTTTCCCATTAATGTACCGGGCGCTACAGTGCAATGTTCTACTGCAACAATCCCCACGCATATACACAGTGTGACAGTTACAATGAAGGCTCGATAATCAGCTCACGGCATATAGGTGTAAGCAGGGGTAAAGTGATATTTTTACAGGTGGTGTGTGGACCTCACATAGGGGGGTCCTCACCTCCTCTAGGGGGGTCCGGGGGCAAGCTCCCCCGGGAAGATTTATTTTTAAATATTGAAGTTAATCAATCTGGTGCACTTTGAGAGAAAAATGAAGAGAACTATGGATACCTCTCTCAACACCCATATTAAACAGAACTGTTAACAGATTTACTTTTTCTTTATGTATATTTTACAAATCACCCTTTTAAACGTTTTTTTACTGTCATATAGTATTTCATACCTGTTTTTCATTTATTCTCTTATTTTGTATAACTATAATGATCATATAAACGTGTGCCTCGGAAATAATTGTTTACATTAATGGTGACCAAAACATTTGAGACCCACTGAGATAACTTAGACTAAAGTTAACTATCTAAACACTGAGAGAGTCCTTTAGCTCACTGAAAAGTCAAGGCAAGCAGCAAAGCTGTTTTCAATGATGGCACCTTCAGGGAGGAGAGCTCCAGAGGCTCAAATGGTTCTGTGACCAAAGCCTCGAGCACCAACGGCAGATCCCCTTGCTGGGTGGAGACATGCACCACTGGGCGCTGTCTACTGGGCGCTGTCTCCTGACCCCTGCAAAAAACGCGCCATTAGCGTTTGACTAAAGGCTGACCTGCTGCCAAATCCCTCATGGCAGGACGAGATGGCTGCATCATACACTTTAACTGTGGAATGAGTAAGCCCCCAGTCCACCAGTATCTGTAAATAGGACAGAATAGAGCCCAACGTACAGGATAGAGGCTCTAGACTCCTTTCTTCACACCACCGCTGGAATCCCAACCACTTCGTCCTGTAACAGGCTGTGGTGGATCCTGCTCTTGCTGCCTGTTTATAACCTTGTCAGACAGTCCACCCCGTCTCAGCCTGTTCCCCTCCGCAGATGCTTTGGGGACCCCCAGTATCGGAGGTTGCCCTCCACTGAAAGGGGGATGGTTACCAGACGTCGTTTGTGCCTCTTGGGATCTAAAAGAAGGCTGGCAAACCACCTCTGCAGGCGACGCATATGCAGTAACCCCAGCGGTACCACGAGGTGAGCAGCCGCCATGAGACCCAGAGTCTGCATGATTGTCAAAGCCGTCACCGTTGCCCCCTGTCGCAGTCTGCAAACTGCCCGAAGCAGGGATGCCTGTCTGCCCTCTGACAGGGTGGCACGTAGTCTGCCTGCATCGAACAAAATCCCCAGATTCTCCACCTGCATGGTGCCTGATAGTCTAGTAGAGAACTCCACCTGCTGGTGAGGTATGGGACTGCTCTTCTTCCAATTGTCCGCAAAACCCAACTTGGTTAGGTGTAGGATCAATTGGGCTGTGTGAAACAATGCCCATTCCCTGGACCTGGCCATGACTATGAGGTCGTCCAGATAAAAGAAAACCCTCATGCCATGGTCGCGAAGCGGCTGAAACGCTGTGGTCACACATTTGCTGAACGTGCGTGGGGATAGGGAGTAGCCGAACGGTAGTCTGTTGTACTCGTAGGCTATCCCCTGGAAGGCAAAACGCAAATACTTTCTGTGCTTTGGAGCAATTTCGACATGAAAGTAAGCGTCCTTCAGGTCGATGGTTGTGAACCAATTGCTCGGCTGCACTAGTTCCAGTAATTGTTTTATGGTTAACATATGGAACTTTTTGCAGGCAATGTGTTGATTCAGGCTGCGAAGATCCAGAATGGGTCTGAATTCTCCTGTCTTCTTGGGAACCAGGAAGTACATGGAGTAAAGCCTCTCTTCTCTGTCCTGAGAGTGCACAACAGACACAGCCTGTTTTTGCAACAGGGCCTGATTCTCTGTTGAAAGGAAACCTATCTCCTCCTGGGATGATAGATTTGTTGGGGAAACTTCTGAAGTAATTGGAGTCGGGACTCAAGAGAGACACGAGGAGAGCTGGAGCTTTGATGGCAAACACTGATGGTTTATTTGGAGCTTCGGCCGGAGAATTCACAAGACATGAATTCACAAGACATGTCTTGTGAATTCACATGACATGTCTTGTGAATTCTCCGGCCGAAGCTCCAAATAAACCATCAGTGTTTGCCATCAAAGCTCCAGCTCTCCTCGTGTCTCTCTTGAGTCCCGACTCCAATTGCTTCAGAAGTTTCCCCAACAAATCTATCATCCCACGAGTTGACCACACGGTAGAGATGCCACAATCAATTCTGAAGAACTCTTCTGTAGTTCCAGGTTTTAACTAGTTCGGAGTGTAATAATCAACATTCTTTATCAGCGAGACTAAACAAATATGGACCCTGAATCCAACTAGAGCTGTCGTCCATAGAAAAGAATGTGTGCCAGGGAACCTACGTTCCTAAAAAGAAGGGCTTCTAGATGTCCCTGAACAATAAACTATCTCATGTCAGCTTGTGCTCGGTCATAAGCTGGCAACAACAATGCGCCCAAGCTGCCCCTCCTAAAGAGAGATAGCAGCAATACCCAAGGCCGTAGAACTATGCCATGGGAAAAGAGACAGTAAAAAGAGAAAACGATGAACTGGGTCGAAGGTTGAATACCTAAGCAAATTATTCCCTAACAAATGGCACCTTGCGGCCATATCCTGGTCCCCCAAACACTCGAAGCAGAGGTGGTGGGGATCGGCGCCCGCTATTAAGCCAGAGCACGAAGGACAGGCCCGGGTCCCTAGAAGTGGCGACTCCCTGAAGGTATGATAACTTCTTTCTTCTTCTTTCAAAGTTTTACTTTTCTCTGTCAGGTGTTGTCCTGCTCGCTGAAGAGAAAAGGATGACAGTCAGGAGGCGCCTTATATACTGTGGGCCTGCGTGCGCATTCAGGTAGGCTCGCCCCGATTGGCCGGCTACGTTTATACAACTTCAGTGTGTGAACGCTTGCGTATCATTGATGAGAGTAGTACCCATAGAGTCCAGTAGAGGGTGGAGCCTGTGTGAAATAGAACATTACAAAACATTTCCTTTGAAAAAGTGAATTTTTTTCAAGTTTCTCTCTAAAAACAAACTTTTACAAGGCTACAATTGAACACATCATGATTTTTCAATTTATCTTTTTTAATTTTTTAATACAAATGTTTCCTTAATGAATATGAACACATTATTGCGGCAGTAATCTTAAAGGTGACATGTCATGCTTTTCCGGTTAGTACCTGTCCCCTTGTGTGTTATGAAGGTTTTTATGCATGTAAACGGTGTGCAGAGTCAAAACCCTCAAAGTACACCATGTAGGGAGTACAACTCTAACACAGAAAATACCTCCCCAAAACGCCTCGTTAGAGATACGTCACTGTCCATTTGATTCTTCCGGGTACATCATGATGTCATGTCGTCCCGGAACGAAATTGACCAATCCGTGGAGCCGTTACGTTACGTCCGCGGAGCCGTTACGTTAAGCCCCCGCTGATTGGTCCAAATTGACCAATCCACGGACTTCCTCACACACTCAGTGCATGCAGCTCTGCTGATCTCTCCTCCCTGGCTGCAGGCTGATAACAGACAGTTGGGATCGCGGCGAAATTCTCTCTGCAGACCCATTCTCACAGCGTTTATCAACCCTTTTCTTACTCAATATCAAGCCACACTTATTGTTTTTACTTCGGCTGTGACTTTATGTGTGCTCAGGATGAGTTTGGCTGTGTTTGGCTGTGTATCGCTAAACAAGGAAATCACACCTCCACGGAGCTCAGCGCGATTCACAACGTCCCGACTGGTCCCGACCAATCGGAGCACACTGGGCTCACAGGGAGGGGGGGGCAAGAGCTGCAACAAGCCGTTTAGTGGAGAGAGTGAATACACGTAGTTTACAGAGATGCTGTATGCGAAACCAATGTGAGTTTGGAAAATTGCACGGTATAAATCTATTCTAGTAGACCTCAACAATGGAATTTTGATCAGTGGAAATGGCCATGACATGTGACCTTTAAACAAAGTGCCGCGAGGGACTAAACAAGAGAAAAAACACTGTGGATGCGCAAAAACTCAGTCTTTCCAACACTGTATGCGTTTGACCTTTTTATTTCCAAAGCAAAAATGCAATATTCTATATCCATATACGTATATCCTTGTATGCGTGCATGCGTGTGGTCAACAAAAATTGTCCTTCTCTAGCTCACTCCCCCATCTATTACAAAGTGCGCAGGTAAAAGCAACCGGATATAAGCACAAACGTCACCACACAAATCCAATGACACGCCCACCATAGAAAAACATGTATCGTAACAAACACAGAAATGGCTTCATATGTGGCTCCTACATTCCGGCCCCTAATTATATCAAGATAATAATTACACAACTGAAAAATGATGTAGGAGACAATCAAGGAAAAAACTTTTAAGGATAAAAACGTCCTTTGTTAAAGTGTCCTTTTCTTCTTTAGGCAAAAAATAGAAAATAAAAAATATATAGTTTGTTAGCCTATGAAGTGATCTTTACTATCACTTAGAAAAAAGTCGGAAAAAACATCAATGTCAAGGTCTATGAAGTTCACTAATTTCCTCACGGCTCTTCTGCTTCCTGGAGAAGGCAAATCTTTGTGATAGGCCTGTCCAGATAGCTAGTTTTTGTCTTCACTCGCACAGTCCTCTTCTGTCTGGAATGGTTTGTACAATCCTTCCTGTAAGCCATGAATTGCGAGGTGCTGAGTCATCGACTATGAGCACAATATCTCCTGGTATGAAGTTGCGCTTGATATTTGACCACTTCTGTTGTTCCTGGAGTAGAGGCAAGTACTCCTTAATCCATCGTTTCCAAAACAAGTCTGAGATGTACTGAACTTATTTCCATCTTCGACGAGCATATATGTCCTCTTTATGAAACAGTCAAGGTGGCTTGGTTTTTAGCAGCAAAAGATGGTTAGGGGTTAGTGCTTCCAAGTCATTGGGATCTGTGGATGCTCTCGTTATGGGACGGCTGTTGATGATGGATTCGGCTTCACAAAGAACCGTGTGAAGACACTCTTCATCAAGCTTCTGTGCCTTCAGGCTGGAATTCAGAACCTTCCTCACAGATCTGATCAACCTTTCCCATACTCCTCCATGATGGGATCCAGTAGGGGGATTGAAAGTCCACTTTATTCCTTTCTGAAGGAGGGTGTTGTTGATTTTAGCAATATTCAACCTTTCTATTGCCTCTCTCAATTCACGCTCAGCTCCGACGAAGTTGGTTCCATTATCTGAGCGTAATTCCAATACTTGTCCACGTCTTGCGATGAAGTGTCGAAGAGCATTAACAAAGGAATCGGTATCCAAGGATGAAGCTACTTCAATGTGGATGGCTCTTACTGTTAAGCATGTGAAGAGAACACCATATTTGTTAACTGTACTCCTTCCTCGCTTGACCTCAAAAGGTCCAAAATAGTCAACTCCAACACGAGTGAATGGAGGTTCATCTGGAGAAACTCTGTCTCGAGGTAAATCTGCCATCTGCTGCATTCCTGGAGCTCCATTTAGTCGCCGACAAACAACACATTTTGACAGGGTTTTCCTTATAGCCACACTAGCACCAGGAATCCAGTATCTTTGTCGCAGGCTAGATAGCATGTGGTTACGACCACCGTGTTCCACATCTTGGTGTACTTGCCGTAGAATGATGTCAGAAATGTGAAGATCTTTTGCCAATATAGCAGGATGTTTAGATTCTTCAGGCATTGCTGCTCTACTGAGACGTCCTCCCACTCTCAGAACACCATCTTCAAGTACTGGGTTGAGCTTGTAGATGTGACTAGTCCTTTTCACACCTTCTCCCTTTTGCAAGCCTTTGATTTAATCAGGAAACCTTTTTCTTTGGCAAAAGCAGATCATTTCTTTCTCAGCTTTTTGGAGGTCCTCAATAGAAAGAAAACCAGAGACCACCTGAGCCTTGATAGTCTGCATTTCCTTTTTCATCTCTAGGTCTTGTTGTTCCTTATTCAAGCCAGACTGAGCAAGAGTCAGACTCAATTGCTTCCTCTTCCGACTAAGGCACAGCAGCAGGTTTTTCAACCTAAGGATCCAACCAACTGTCTTCTTCAGGTGGATCCAATAAGAGAAGTGATTGATCAATCGGGTTACAGCATCCATCTCTTTTTCAACCTGC